AGCCGAGGATAAAATCAGAGACAAATGGAAGTGTATGGACTGTGAGTGGAAAGGACCATAGGATAGTAAAGAAGTATGTGGGAAAGAGGATGATTTTTAAAAGCCTATGAGAGGAGAGAAAAAATAGATGTGAGATGGAAGAATGGAGAGACTGGTTAATAGATGGCTGCTGACTTGAGACTCGTGTAAGACTTTTGCCCTTCATTTCTGCCTTCCTTGACCCTCTCCTTCCCTGATTAAGGCCCTCTCTAGGGAATTCCTTCATGTGCCGGTATCCTCTCTAGTAAGGCCCAAATCTGTACACACTTGGTATGTGGAGATGGGACACAAAGAACGGATCTAGGGGTCTTGTGGGGTCAGCAGCCACCAACCCTCTATTTAGGCCAATGGACAGGACAGGGAATATTGCGGACCTGACTTCCCAGCAACATCCTCCACCTTCCTTGCTTCTCGCTCTGCTAACTCAACTCTGCCTTTCTCCTTCCTTCTACTCTGCCCTATATGGAGGACACATGGACACCAGGGGCTCCTTACTGAAGCCTGCCCCAGGTGCCAGAAAGCTCTTGGGCATCCAAGGCTTCGCAGTTGCAGAGGCAGGACAGAATTTCTCTGCACAGGATGGACTGCATATGGGAACTGAAAACTATATTCCTTGGATTCCTGCTTCTATTGATGCTGTCTGTAAAAAACCTGTCTGCGCCTCGCTCCTCTCAGCTGACCTTGTTTATGAGTTGTATTCCTTTATTTATTCTCTTTGCTTGACTGCTTTTCCCTCCCCACTGCTTCCTAAAACCATTGCGTCATTAGCTGTTGGATCAGCTCTCTGGGAAACGATTCTGTTAATGTAAGTGCACTTACTCCCTGGATGTTGTCACTAGTTAGTGGCTTTTGCTAAATAAACCTTTCTTATTTCTAAAAGCTTTCCTATTGTCTCTACTTGCTTCTTCTGTTTAACCTGCTTCTTCTGTCCCCTCCCCTTGCACCCACTTCCTAAGCCAGGCAACATCAGCTCTGGGAGAAAGAATTCACATCTCCTGGAGGAGAGGAGCAAAGTGGATCCTTGGTTGCAGGACATATGAACCAACCCTGCAGGGCTAGACTGTCTCCTGGTAGTAACTGGAAATAATTTGGCTTCCCTGGGGGACATTTGACAGGATCTCGATACTTCATTTCTCATCACTAGGGGATGGATGGATGCTTTTGGTATATAGAGGGGGCGAAATCAGGGATCCTACCATACATAGGACAGCCTCAACAAAGAATTATCCAGCCCAAGGCCGTGAAAACAGAGACTGTAATCACCTACCCTACACCCAGTTTCTTTTTCATACTCCAGATACCATTGGAGTATGAGGGTTGTAGCGGTGACTTTGGGGTATTAAAAACACTGCCATTGTTTCTACCATAACTACGATCAAAATCATACAATTTCACTGACTTCTGAACTCTGTGTCTGAGATTTCTATTTGGTAGTTGCCCAAAAGGGCCCAATCCAGCCAAGTCCATACAGAGAACAAAACAGGCTCCTCCTCCTCCTATTTTCCCAGAAGTGTTGCAGCAACAAAGATTCACAGATCAAATCCTGGCATGTGGGAGTATGGGCATCACAATGCAGCCTTTACTTGTCTGACTTCCCCAAACTGGGACTTCCAGCGTTTTTTTTTTTTTTGAAGGCAGGAAGCTTGTCAAGCCTAGCGCTCTGTCAGGCCCAGGGCAGAGGCAAGACCAGAAAGGCCAGGTTTAGATGCCCTCTCTTCTCCTCTGCCAGCGAAGTGAACCGGGCTCTTTCCTCACCCGTACACTGGGATGGTGTATATCCCATGCCACTTTCATGAGCGCATAGAAGACTGCATCGTAAAAAACCTCAGCAGAGCGCAGCTCTCACTGCCCCGGGGTACAGGACAGCATCTTAGTGTGCTTCCTCGGTATATTAGATGCAAAATGTAGACGGCACCTTCCTGTCCCTAGGGAGAAGATGCTGCACATATGAGGATAGTAACGAGCACATGCTGTGGTCCCTTCTCTAACTCCCATGGCTGCTTTTCCTCTTGGCCGTTTGGGGCATGTGATGCAGGGGTCCTGGAGCAGGGAGCATGGGGTTGGCAGAAGATCAGGAGCCAGCCGGTTCCCCAGGCAGTGTGAAACTAAGAAGGGCCTCTCCTGTGCATGCTTCTCGCTGTATTGCTGAGGAGCCCTATCGAAGGGAAATGGCACCTATGAACAACCACACACGTTAAAAAGCCACCTTCCTTCTCTCAAGACACAAGTTGTGTGATAATAGTGTGTTTTGTGTGTGTGAATGACAATTTGTAAATGTTGAATTCTAGGCTTCGACAATCATTGTCAGTGCAGATCAAGCTGATGTTGAGAAAGATGCATCACAAGCACAGGCTGGAGGCT